AACAGAGAGTCTCCAGACTGATTTGCGAGTGAAACCTTGAAAGCTCGCGAGATCAGGATGGTCTCACGAGGCTAGAACCGCCTATGATAAGTGGGTTAATCGATTTTATTTTGAGTCGACAGATCCTTATAAATGTTTGGTTGATGCTCAGGTTAAAACAAATAGGTAGACCTGAAATGTAACATAAACCAAGCTAATCAACAAAAAGTAAAACAAGACCATTGGTTACAGCTGGCGTGAGTAAAAGAGAAGGAAATAAAATGAAACAGAATGATTGAAAACTCCTGAAAGGCGCTAATCAACAAGGGTTTTAATTAGTGACCTTTAGTTTATATTTTCTGATAGATAGTCATTATAAGTAGAGTTATTATAATGTTGATTTGTGCTTGTTACTGAAGAGCATAGACTTCCAGCCAGGTATTTTTTCTACTACTATATGACATTTCCTCACAAAAATCTGTAAAAGGAAAACTGAATGAGACAAGACCTGCATAATCTGAGAATATTGAAGAGATAACCACCTGTTTAATGTTTATTTAATATGCTGTTTTTGCTTGTTGCTCCAAATATGGTGGTAATTAGTATTTTACACTGCAAAAAAATCTAAATCTAGATATGTCATTTTTTTCTTAAAATAAGTGCATTTGTTCTTGAATTGAGGAGGTAAAAGAGACATTTTGCCAATGGAACAAGACAATTTACACTTATAATAAGAAAAGATAATTGCATTGTCTTATTTGAAGTGCATATTATCTAATTATCTTATTTTAAGAGTAAAATTACCAATTCCATTGGCAAACTATCTCATTTACCTACTCAAATTAAGGGTGAATACACTTAATTTAGGAATTTTTTACTTATTTCTAGATCGTTTTTGCAGTGTAGGTATTTAATCAGGTGAGATAATAATAATAATAATAATAATAATAATAATATGTATGATGGGATTATACCAGAATAACCACAGTATCTAATCTAAAAATAACCAACTTCAAATTGGTATGGGAAACAAAAATTCTGTTTTAATTATTAAATTGTAAGTTTTCACGTCGTACATCTAATGTTTTTGGAAGGGACTCGGATTATATTATGTCTCGGTTTTAGAAACAGC